GGGCTAAGTCCGTGACGAGGCCAGCCCAATTCAGCCCCCCAACACTTTTTTTTTTGGACAAGGTTACATAGGAATGGAACTTGAGTCGTTGGGCTATGAAAACCTAGCCTATACCGTCTTGACCCAAGCTTGTTTCCTGAAAGTACTTACTGAATGAAATTTAATTTTGTTTAATTTTATTGTATTTGGCCTGGCCTGGCCCTCTAACATGGCCTGGGCTATGGCCCCTTCACTGTGGTCCGGACTCTGGCTGGCCTTGTAGGAACTAGGGCCAGGGCTGGCCTGTTGCCACCTCTCTCTCTCTCTCTTTCTCTCTCTCAGTCTAAGTCTCTCCGGCCTGTTGCCACCCCTACTCGTCTCTCTCACTGGGCAAAGTGCATATTACTGATAATGACCTAGTTGTTTATGTTAGTCAAATTACATTCTTGAGGTGGGTGGTTACGTAATCATATCCTGCACATAGCAACATCTTATGCATTTGGGTCCAACACTACCATCATCACCTTCTATCATTTCATTGAACAGTCATGTTCCTAGTGGACTACAGTTTTCCGCAATGGTTGTAATATACTCCCTGTTAGGCCTTCTTCTTGTCTTTTTGGGTAATCTATATTCCTTGTGCCTATTTTGTTGTAAAACTAAGGGCAATATCCCATGCATGCAGAATCAGGCAAAGGGGGGATTACTGTCCGAGACTTGGAGAGGGTTGCAGCTTCTCATGACTTTCAATGGACAGACAAGGAGCTAAGCGATATGGTTTATGCCTTCGACACTGATAGAGATGGAAAGGTGAGATTATTGCTTCTCTGTTCTTTTTTTGACATTATTGCTTCTCTGTTCTTTTTTAATGGTTAGTTTTTATACAGAAGAAACAAAAACATATTCCCTTTATTTAAGTGGGAATGAATTTGCTAACACTTAAAATGAGTCCATATACTGGAATCTGCATTTGTGTTCCCCTTTTTTCGTTCTGTTTTTTTTTTGAATGGTAAGTAAAAGCGGTGTTATGATTATATTCCCCTTTCTTTTCAAATAAATATGGTAACACATGAAAATGCCCTTTATGCGAAAAAGAACAACTCTATTGATTTCTTTGATTGTTTCTTTACTTGCAATTCTAGAAGCTTATTTTGTGGCTATTTACTAGCTATAATGCTCAAACTTTTAGAAATGTCAAAAATACTTATATACACTGAACACATTTCTCCATGATATAGGGTGCGGTTTCTATAAGGTTGCAACCTTAAACAATCCAATTAAGGTACACCTTAAAATTTATCATTA